GGGGTCTATCTGCAACAATAAAACTAGAGGGGTAGTAAGTTGAGTAGCGACACGAAAAGGGTCTATCTGCAATTAACCCTAAAGAAAAATGGAGACAGTACATTGTTGCGGCCAAGCCAATTAGCACAATCTAGGTCAATCTGTTGAGGTGGAACACTGGCATCAATAAGCAGCATGACGGAGACGAGCGTATCTCGATTTAGAAAGTAACCTTTTGTGAAGGACGACCAATCCGTTCGCATTGATTGTGAAGCATTAGCAAAGCTACACTCAACAAAATATCGAACAGAAAAAATTAAGGGGGAAACACTACTTCAAGCATTTCAAAAAAGAGTAGCAGAGTCAAAATTAAAACTAGAGTAAACACAAAATAACAGCAACTATTTTCAAACTCATGATTTGTCAAGCAAATATCAACCCACCAAAATCTCTTGACCAACTTCGACGAGGTTGAGGACGAGTAGATCAAAGTACCTTCCAAGAAGGTGAGTGTATGTAGTGTCGAAGATGACAAAGTGAGATGACACTAGGAAGGAGATGGGCTCGGAGGATAAAGACGTAAGATACATTTAAGTCATGTGCTTTTCACTGTGTTGAGGGTTCGCCCTTAGTAGGATTGTATAGTGGAGAAGATTTGAGAAATTTGAAAAGGTCACAGATATTTAAGAAAATATCTCGTTTATGGTTATTGTTGATGGGGAACAAAGATACATCAATGGAAGAGAGAACATAGGGGCGAAGATAACCGAAGACGACTCACATGCCTTCCTATTCTAGGCTTCTATGGAATCACATGCATCGTCACAACGAGGACCTTTAAAACATCACACCAAAGAAGGGCAATTTTCTTTTATAGAATCATCCTTCAATACAAGAAGGCAAGAGAGCATTTTGTTATAAAATCTAGAAAGCTTTAGGCACTGTTTGGCAAGCAAAAAAATGTCTTATCTAAGAGCTTGTGTCTTATTGACTTGGTCAATAAGCTAGTAGAGCTGTTTGGTGACCAAAAATAGGAGGAGATTATTTTGGAGATTGTGTCTTTTGCAAGTAGCTTTTGGAAAGCTACCTCAAGTAGCGTTTGTCTTTGGGAAGGAGCTGCCAATTTTTTTCTTTCGTTTTTACCCCTAATAATTCTAATTTTATATCAATAATATTGCATGTCTTTTTTAGTCATTTAACAAATTTAAGCTAGTTGTATAACTACTTTTGCCAAACAGTTCTAGTCAATCAGCTAGCTACACAGCTAACAGCTTTCAGCTACAATTTCACAGTTTTCAGCTAGCTTAATAGCTTTCAGCTATAATCTCACAGCTTTCAGCTAGTTTTGCCAAACAGAGCCTTAGTCCTAAGAAGAATCTCTTAACATCTAGAAAATAGAATATTCCTAACCAACCTAAAAAAATTGCCTTATTATCTAGAGCAACAATATCTAAAAATTAAAACTGAAAATATCATACCTTAACTAAAAACTAATCAAATCCTAACAATAGAGTTACAAGAACTAAAAATTAAAACAAAAAATATCATGCCTTAGCTAAAAACTAATCAAATCCTAATAAATCAAAGCAATAGAAATCCTAATAAATCTTCATGAAATCTATGTAGCTTTCAAATCTAGATCTATAATTTGTCATGCATCAATTATTCTCACTTTTTATAAAAAAGTTTGCAATCAAATATCAAACAAATAATAATACCATAATAGAAGACAAATAGATGAATAATATTTCGAATTTCAAAGTTCTACTCCCATGGAGTAGAACTTTATAAGGAACCCAAGAGAACACCTTGAGTGTTGGGACTGTGAAAATGTGAAGGCATGTTAGGGTTAATTTAGTCCGACATTGGCTATTTGGGAAATTTGATGTGAGTTTCTAGGGAACTTGGGCTCCCTCCCTCTAATAGGTAGCTTTTGGGAAGACTTCTTCTAAATGTTGGTCACTTAAAAATCCGAACTTATTAGTCCACCAATAATAGAATTGAAGCAGATGCTGGAAGAGGAATTTGAGATGTCTAATTTGGTTCCTAGGGACTTCGAGCCTCTAAAAGGCATCGGTGAAATGGAAGGGACAATGTTGAAGGTTGTAGGTAATAGGTGGAATAATTGTTATTGATTGTAGGAATTTCATCTTGAATCAATATTTTAGTGGAGCGAATGGGAAAGATGTCAGTAGCAAAGAATTACACATACCCAACATCAGTGCTTGGTTTGGCCTGAAATCTGAATCCATTTTAATCCAATCTCCATGTAGGTTTGCTACCTCCTAACTCTCGCCCCATTCCATCTTTCCTCCAGCAAATCGGTTTCTAATGTTTTTGCCAACTACAAATCAAGCAGCTCACTCTTCTTCACCAATCTATAATCACTCGTCAACTTACTCTGCAAATTCAGACGGCGTACCACTAAATTGCCGACCTGAGTTCCCTATTTTGCGGTGAGAATTTGCATGCATGGATGTACAGGACGAGGCAATTGTTTGACTTTTATTCAATTTCAGACGAGCAACAAGCCTATCACACTGCCCTCTTCCTTAATGAAGCTCCTCTTAATGGTTTTGTTGGTTGACTATTTAGTGAGTTGTTACATCAATAGGCTTCAAGAGGAGATTCGATTTGATGTTACGATGGAAGGGTCCAAAACAACTAAGGTTGCTTGTCGATCAGGTTATTTGTTTGAGAGCAAAATGTCCATATCTGAGCAGAGTGCAACACCGAAACCGATATCCTTCAAGCCAGTTAAGCTATTCCAAGCTAACCCAAGAATTCATCTGTAGCTGTATTGTCATCTTAATCTTCCATTAGAGGCATCTCACCACAGTAGGCGAAGTAGCGTCATAAGTAGGGGCTTTTTTTATCAATGTGATGAGAAGTACGCTTTAGTGCGCAATACAAAAGAACTATTCGTATTAATGGTATTCCCTTCCATATTAAGATGAATGGAAGCCACGATTATGGGTTTGATAATAATGAGTCAAGAGGAAGGAATAATGAAATGCTATGAGGGAATTTATTCCTTAAATTAAAAGAATCTATATTTTGATATAGAGGATGACGCCAATGCAAACATGGAGAATTATCGAGACCCAAATCCAAATTCATTGATTTGTCTGCCATTCATAGAATAAAACAACCTCAACTATGTTGTGATGGTTATTAGAGTAGTTGTTAGGATTCTGATTAGAGAGGGTGAGGATTAGATGTGAGTGTTATTTTAAGCATTGAAGAGAGAACTTGTAAATGTTATACTATGAATTAATAAAATCTTCTTGTTTATCATTTTTTCTTTCTCTTTCCTTCTCACTCTACTTCTCAGCAAATCCCTTGTTTCTCTCTAAAATCCACCATTTTTCTCTTATCAATTCTTATTTATCTTAACCAATTGTGATAGGGATGGAATTATAACATCCAATCCTCTTCTGTTCAAGTTTCTCATCAATGCTTAAATAGCATTGTTACATCTAATCCTCGCTCTAATCAAAAGTACATCCCGTCTATAATCAGAATCCAAACTATTCCTCTTAACAACTATCATAACGTAATTGAGGATGTTTTACTCATAACTAGACTTCGTCCACGAACACACCAGCCGGCTTAATCACAACTAGTGACGCAACGCGGAAGTGATAACCTTGGAATCCATCAAGGGGTGTTCTCTGAATCCCAAAAAACGATCTTTGAATTCACAAAGAACTTCGAATCCATGAAGAAATTATTGAAAGAGAAATTTTATTGATGAAAAGTTATGCCTCTAGGACTTACAATATTTTGCTTAAATAGAAAATAAATAAGACTCATACTATGACTCAAACTTTACCAAAAATAAAAATAACAAAACTTTTCCTAAAAGACTCCCTAAGATTAGGAAAGTAAATCGGGTAAATTTGGAATCAAACCGGATTGCTTCCTAATCAAAACAGACTCCTAAAACATTACCTAAAATAGTAAAAAATTTAATAAAAAACACGAATATCTCTCAATACAGAGGGAATTTAGCGAAAGGGACGGCGGCAAACTAAACATCGGTAGGTTTGGTTGACTCCGTCTCGAAAAAATACGCGATTTATATATATAATTCGTCCAATTCCGACTTACGCTTTGAGAGATATGATCCGCTCTTCGTTACAAGTTATTTTCCTCGATCGGGTCAGCGTTTGGGCTTGTGTCGGTCTCGATTCTCCATAAATATGTCTGCAGTGTGTTCTACATCAATCTCCCCTACTTGACAAGAGCTCGACCCTTAGCTTATATTTGCATGAATGGTTGTTCCTTCTGGCAGGTAATACTCAAACAAAGCTGCAACATTAAAACTAGGAAAAATAGTCAAATCTGTAGGAAGGTCAACCACATAAGCATTGTTGCTAATCTTCTTTAGTATTTTACATGGGTCATACTTTGTATTCTTCAGCTTGTTGTGGGTGCCCACTGGAAAACGTTGTTTTCATCACCATGTCTCTCTCCTCAAACGCTCTTCAGTATTTTGCATGGGCCAGCTTGTTATAGGTGCCCACTAGAAAATGCTCTTTTCGCAGAAACACCATCACCGTGTCTCTCCCCTCAAACACCTTCTTTCTCCTGTGTCGATCAGCATGCGTCTTATATTTAGTATTAGACTTCTTTATCTTCTCCTTCACTTCCTATTGGATAGCACATATCTTCTCGGCCATATGATCTGTAGGAATACTTTGTCTTGAAAGCTTAGACAGTGGAACTAGATCAATATAATGGTCCGGAAGCCTTCCATATACAATCACAAAGGGAGCCCTGCCTGTAGTTCGATTCTCTATACAGTTATAAACAAATTCAGCATGTGCCAGAGCAAGATCCCACTGCTTCGGACAAGCGCTAGAGATGGATCTGAGAAGGTTACCGAGAGTGCGATTCACCACTTCAGTTTGGCCATCCGTTTGAGTATGATAAGCAGTACTGAATTTAAGTGAAATATTGAATCGCTGCTGTAAGGTCCTCCAAAAGTGGGATAATAACTTAGAACCACGATAAGAGGCGATGGACTTTAGCACCTTATGAAGACGTACTATCTCTCGGAAGAAAATGTTGGCAATATTGCTAGCATCTACTATTTTCTTACATGAAATAAAATGTGACATCTTTAAAAATCTATCAACCACAACAAAAATAGAATTCATACCTTGTTGGGTTCTAAGGAATCCCAACATAAAATCCAACGAAATATTATGTCATGACGTATTAGGAACAAGTAAGGGTGTATACAATCCCGTATTTTGGGACTGTCCCTTAGTAACTTG